ACATTCATATAATACAAAATTCACAATTGAACTATTTTGAAGTATATAAATCAGGGGCATTATTATATTCACAATGCTATGTGCCACCACAATTACCAATTTCCAAGACATATAAGATGCTTCCTTTTACATCCCAGTATGGTGGTATCCCAGTATGGTGGAGTCCTGGTGTGGCACTGTGGGTTACTGCACTAAACTGCAAGGTCAATTTGAACCTCAAGGTTGGTGGTTCAAGTTCACCAGATGCTCCTCAGAAGCACTGCGCAAGGTTGCTATGGGTCGAACCAATTTGACGGCACTTAACAACAACAAAAACATGGTGCTGTAGAAAAAGCACTGGACTTCTAACCACAAAGTAGGCAGTTCAAATCCACCAGTTGCTCATCAGAAACCCTATACAGAGTGGCTGTAAGTTGGAATTGACTTTCTAGCACTTAACAACAATAATTACACTTAGCAAAAAATTTTTAGCTGTATCCATTTTGCATAATACATCAGTAATATATATATATATATATCCATATAATATTTGTTTGTATGGATATATCAAATTCCATGTCTACTCATCTTTTAATGAACATTTTAATTGTTCCCACCTTGTAAATATTGGGAATACTGCTGCTGTGAATATTCATATACAAGGATTTGTTTGAGTACCTGTTTTCAATATTGGGAAATAGAGACTAAAAAGTATAATTATTTCTCTTCTATAAACTTATTATTGGTTGACTTTCAATTAATTCTTGAAATTAATTGAAAGACTTAAAAGTTGAATTATTTTCTCTTCTATGAACTTATTATTGGTTGACTTTCAATTAATTTTTTCCATTGGGATTGCTGTTGTTAAGAGTTGGTTCCCACTCATAGCCATGCTGTACAGGGTTTCTGAGGAGCAGCTGGTGGGTTTCCAACCACAAGGGCTTAACACTATGCTTCTTGTTGTTAAATACCATCGAGTAGGTTCTGACTCACAGTGACCCTGAATGGTATTTCTTAGGAGCAGCTGGTGAGTTCAAACCACCAACTGTGGGGTTCAATATGACCTTATGGTCCAGTGCTTATCTTACAGCACTAATGTAATTAAAATAACTGCCATTTATTGAGTTTTTCTTGGACATTTAACTATCTCTTAAAAGATAATAAAGTTTAAAAAAAATAAAGCTTTATTGTTGTTGTTGTTGTTAAGTGTCATTTAGTTGGTTCTGACTCATACTGACTCTGTATAGAGTTTCTGAGGAACAGCTGATAGGTTTGAACCACTAAACTTGTGGTTCACAGTCCAATGCTTATCCTACAGCACCACACCAGGAATCCATAAACCTTTCTTCTTGCTGTTAAGTGCCATCACTCGGTTCCAACTCATAGCGACCCTGTATAGGCTTTCCAAGGAGCAGCTACTGAGTTTGAACTACTGACCTCGTGGATCAAACCAACCTTGTGGTCCAGTGCTGTATCCCACAGCACCATACCAGGACTCCTTAAACCTTTGAGAGGGTCCTAATTTTAAACATAAAGAAACTGAGGCTCAAAGAAATTAAATTATTTGTTTAGGATTATGTAGCTAGTAATTAGATTGAAGAAACAGGATACAAACTCTTGCCTCTTTAAATCAAATGTCACTTCTTACTACCACACTATGATATTTGTCTTTTTGTAAATGATATCATCATCTCCATTATCACCATTATAATAAAATATGTTACACTTCCTGTAAGCAGCAAAAGCGCTCTTTATTAGTGTGTAGGGAAAATAAATTATATAGTTTTAAACAATATAAAATAGAACAAATATTAACTTAATTTCCCCATATTTTCATGCAAAGCATTTTTCCAGTTAGAGATATGAGATAAGAGGGAACAATTTATTGATTAGGTAAGAGTTTTTATTGGATATAATTGAAAGTAATAGGAATACATTGGATCCAAAGAAGGGGTCTCTGGTGTCAGGCTCACCAGCCACTCCTCAGAAACCCAAAACTGGGTTGCAATGGTTTGGAACCAACTCAAAGGCATTTAACAACAACAACAACAACAACAACAACAACATAACCAGATAAGAATGAGATTTAAAAGATGCTAAATAACATTTATGATCACTTCTTAGAAGGTGCTTTTCTTACATTACCTATTAAAACTTCAATCAAGATAAGAATAGAGCTCATTCATTTTTAATTATCAGGTAACTTTATTCAAAAGGAAAAGGTTGCACAAGGTCAAAAAAGGAAATTGTGGATTTACTATTCAAATTTTCAGTTGGCTATCACCACTGAAACTCACAAGCCAAATAAAATAGTTTTGTTGTGATAAATATGTGTGCGGGGAAGTGTTTGCAGGGAAGGTATTTCTTTCAAGAATTGTTAGAATAAAGGGATATATAGAAGAAACAATAGGAGAAATGGTTGTTAAGGCCATCATGTAGATGTGCTAAAAGAAGGAATACACAAAGAAAAAAGAAAGGAAGAAAAAGTCAAAAGGAAGATGAAAGAAAATCATAGGAAGGTAGTTATGGAGAAATAATATTAAAAATACAGTTAAAGGATTTGGAATAATATTATCTTATTGAGTACCCAAAAGAATCCTAGGAAAGAGTTTCAAGAGGACAGGAAGTTCTGAAGAGAAGTTAAATACAATAACACAGTGACAATCACTTTTATTCATTATAGATTGGTAGATTTTTTCCGTGGAATACTGTATAAGATCTTCAGGATTGATTTTTGCACTTATATTGACCACTGTGTACTTTGCCTCATTTTTTATAAGCTTACATCTCTATGAAATAGCCTTCTCAGTGCTCCTTTCACATCCTTATTTCTCAGTGTGTAGATGAGGGGATTGAGGGTTAGAGTCACTACTGTATAGAAAAGGGAGATGAATTTCCCTGTGGGCTAATGCATCAGACAACAAAGTCGTTTGAACTGCAAGGTCGGTAGTCAAGCTCACCAGCTTCTCCTTGGAAACCCTATACAGGGTCACTATGGGTTGGAATTGACTCGACGGCACTTAACAACACAACAAAATGGGCAAGGAGCTCTGGTAATGTAGTGGTTATGAATTGGGCTGCTAAGCTCAAGATCGGCAGTTCGAAACTATCAAGTGTTCCACGAGAGAAAGATGAGACTTTCTGCTCCTGTAACGATTTGCAGCCTCAGAAACCCTGTGCAGGCTGAGTCAGAACTGATTCCACAGTACTTAACAGGAACATGGGTATAAGAGCTGTTGAGCTGGATATAGACAGCCATGATGGTCCCATAGAAAAGGGACACTACCATCAGGCGAGATCCACATGTTCTCAGTGCTTTGTTCCAAGCCTGGACTGACCCAGGTCTTACGACTGCCCTAACTATATGTCCATGGTGGTGGTTATGTGCCGTGAAGTCGGTTCCGACTTGCAGCCACCCTGGATGAGACTATTTTCCATTCCACTCAACCATGCAACACCTGCCAAAGCCTGGCACAGCCGTGGGTTCATCGCAGCTGAATAGTGGAGGGGTTTGCAAACAGCAGCATAGCAATCAAAAGCCATCACAGCCAAGAGGACACACTCAGTGGAGCCCAAGAACACTATGACATAGAGCTGGACAGCACAGCCCAGTGGTGTAATGGTCTTGGCTGGTCCTCTTAGGTTCCACAGCATCTGGGGGACAATGCTAGTGGTAAAGCAGATATCGACTAGCGAGAGATGAGTGAGTAAAAAGTACATGGGTGTCTTAAGTTTAGGGTCTATAAACAAGATCAAAATAATGACTGTATTTCCCACAAGTGTAAGGAGATAGGACACTAAAACAATCACAAAAAGTATCTTTTCCAGCTGTGGCTGATCAGAGAAGCCCACCAAGATGAAGTCTCCTTTGAAACTGCTGTTGGCCATCCCCATTATCCTGCTCAGAAAAAAAGAAGGAAAACACTGTAAGAGTTTGGAGAGAGGGAAATGAGTTGGCCACTTATCAAATAACTTTTCAGTGTTAGCCTTAAGAGTAATCACAGTGAACCATGGAATACATTTTGACACAGTTTCCTTCACAAAATGCAGTACATGATGTTAAAGAGAAGACTGTACAGATACACATATGAAGTCTAATGTGGAAGCAAAGCCTTTTCTTGAGATATTACTAATAGAAACAGATAAAATTTGTCACACACACACAAACACACACACACACACACATAAGCAAGCAAAACAGAGATGATTTAAAAAGAGAAAGAGGAATAAAACACAGTAGTGTAGTGGTTACGAATCGGGCTGTGAACCGCAAGGTCAGCAGCTCGAAACTACCAGCTGCTCCGCGGGAGAAAGATGAGGGGTTCTGCTCCCGTAAAGATTAACAGCCTCGGAAACCCTGTGCAGGGTCGCTATGAGTCGGAACCAACTCCACGGCACATAACAACAATTAATTTTTGGCATATGACAAGTCATTCAAATTAAAAGGCAAATCTAGTAATATAAACATTTAGAATATGTGAATAATACATGTAAAGGTTTTTACTCTTCAAATATAAGTTTAGAGATGGATTTTTTTTCAAGGATCTTCATTATAAGAATGGCAGCCAACTTCTGGGGACTATTATAGACATTTTTTTTTTCTATTAAATGGCAAACGTTTGACTATTGAAAGTAATAACATTAGCAGTTATATGTAAATGTTATAATGTACATCACACAATCATTATAAACACAGTGTTACCATTAAGATATATTAACTCATTTATTCTATAAATTTATTTGTGACAGAAACTCACGCAACACATGCAGAGAAGCTTCCTTTCCCTTATTGGTTTGCAGTGCTGGAGAAGGAAGCCAGCCTTCTGATCTTGCAGGTTGAATGAAGAGGCTCTTGTATCTGAATGGAGTGAATGTGGATCTGGGAAGGGACATTTTTGTGGATGAAAGAGGCTACTTCAGTGTTCATCAAACCAAAATAGAATTTTACCGTCTACAGGACTAAAGATTTGTATTGGGCTTTTAAAAATCTGAACATCTATCATAGCAAATGTTTATAAATATATTCACTGACACACAAAAAATATATCCTAAGACTATAACTACCTCATGTTAGGGCAAATAGGTACTTTCTACATTTAAACAAATCACTTAGGTCTTACAATTTTATCCTAATAATTGCATATCCTGAAATTTTATAATTCTTTGTTATAATCATGGAAATAAAATATATTAATTCTCAACAAATAGTCCTTTATATTAATTTAAGTTTTAGTGTAAAAATTGTACTTAGTAGAAATCAGTGGAAATGAAATGAAGTTAAGAGAAGTGTTCAGATAAGGGTTGATCCAGCAGCAATGTGAGGTAGTTAGTACTCCCTCAATTAGAGTGCTGTGGAGTCATATCTGATAGAAAGAGTAGAACTGCATGACAGAGTTGTCTAGGCATTCATATTTATGGACACATATTACCAGTCTTTTCTCCCAGGGAACATCCATGGATTTGAAACATTGATCTTTCAGTTAGCCCCCAGTCACTTTAATCATTGCATCATCAGAGCTACTTCAAATGGAGTAAGGGGAGCAGAGATGAGGACATGGAAAGAGAGAACAGCTGAGAACTCTAGACTCATGGAAAAAGAAAGACTGTGTGCTGGCAGCCAGGAGGCAGGCTTGCAGATTGAGCCTTTTGGTTGTTTAAATAATAAATTCCTGAGTGTTTTTGTGTACACCCATCCCCCCAAAAAAAAGAGGGAATAGAAGCAAATACTGTTGAAAGATGATGCATGGAGGAGATTGTAATCATTGCAATGAAACAAGTGTAAAACTGAGGTTGTCCCATGTAAACTATCACTCAATTCATAATAAAACAGAAAAATGTCAATAGAAGGTTTTCATACTAAAAGAGTCAAAAGAAAAAAGAGACTGTGAATGGGACCTTAGGGAAGAAACCAGATATTGGTTTTGTTTTGTTTTCAAATTATAACGAATGTACTTATGTTTTTCAAATTCTAACAAAGAAACACATATACACACATAAATGCAGTGACTTTGCTATTCAACCCAATTAGTTCCTACCCATTCAATACCTAAAAGGTACTCATCTTTTTTTCTATCAGAGGAATAATATAAAGCAACACCCATGTCACTCTTCAGAAGCAGTCTCTTTAATACTGCTTGCAGGTTGCCACCTTCCCATCCCAGTCAAATGAGAATTTCTTCCATGTTTATAACACACACATATATATACACACTACATATACACATATACATACACAACCAAGAAAGAAGTACCATGCATTGTTAATTCACAGTCAGTAACTGGTTCCTTATTTATAATATCATGTTCATTTTAAATTTGTAGAAAAATTATATTTCACTATCATACAAAATTTTAAATCACATGCACACCATATTATCTCCCCTCACTTAAATTACCATCAGATTTAAACCAGAAACTCAATTTCTATAAAAAGTTAAAAATCAGAAGCATGTTGAATCATCCTGGTATAAGCAGGAAACTGAGGAGTCGAAAGAAGTGAATAAATTAGAAGATAGGGGGTTTCCAGCCTTCTTTTGTATACTGATAATCTTATTTGAATATGAAAAGGTTATTTAAGGCATGAAGTACAAATTGCTATTACCTTGATGGGACAGGTCTGTATCTGCATGCCTGGTGGAGGAACTGTTATTTGCTCAAATAACAGTTTATTTATCCCTGGAAATCAGTAAGTCATAAGAGATTGAGAAAGAACACAGGGCACTGAACCCAAAGAGATTCCAGGGACTCAGTTCTCCCAGTATGGCAATTAATTTCCAGTATCACAGTATACAAAGGTGAGCTGTCCCAGAAAGTCATTCAACAGGAGATCTTTCTCCCTATCTGATTCTTCAACCTTGTTTAGATCTAGGAAAAATTATACAACTTCTGTTTTATATACTCTTAAAGTTGAGATGCTTTCTCTTTTCTACCATAAGAGAAGGAGTCCCAGTGTGGTGCTGGGATAAAGCACTGGACCTCAAGGTTGATTTGAACCACAAGAATGGCAGTTCAAATTCACCAACCACTTTTTGGGTTGCTATGAATCAGAACTGACTTGACAGCACTTAGCAAAAACAACAACAATAAGAGAATCTGGATTTTTATGAGCATCTTTTAATTTTCTCAAAAATAAATTACCTTATATACAAAAAGGTAAAGAATTCATACAAGTATAGTTTGATGAATTATTGCAAAATGAACACAATCAATAAATAAAACACAAGGAACACTGTAGAAGAATCTTCAAGTTTCTTTCTATATATGACTTTTTTCTGTCCTTCATGTAACCATCATTTAAAATATGTAGTTCTAAACCACGTATAAATGATCATGTAATATTATTCCTCTAGTTTCTACTCGCATTGTGAGATAAAACGGAGTACAATTTTTATTGCTGCATTACGCTTCATTGTCTAAATATGTCACAATTTATTTATTCATTGTATTGTTGATGGGTTGTTTCTAAATTTTGTCTTTTATAAATGATGTTGTTATGAATATTTCTGGATATATCTTTCAGTGAACAAATGAATTTATGTATCAATATCTCTTGGGACTTATCTTGGAATGGAATTGCTCCATCATAAAATATATACGTGTTCTATTTTAATTGTTGCTGTTGCTGTTGTTAAGTGTCATTGAGTTGGTTCTGATTCATGGCAATGTTGTTAAGTGTCATTGAGTTGGTTCTGATTCAAAACAATGAAACACTGTCTGGTCATACATTATCCTCACAATTTTTATTATGTTTGATCCCATTGTTGCTGCCATTGTTTCAAGCTAATTTCTGGGGATCTTCCTCTTTTTTGCTGACCCTCAACTTTACCAAGCATTATGTCCTTCTCCAGGGACTGGTCCCTCTTGACAATACGTGTAATATGAGAGATGCAATCTTACCATCCTGCCTTCTAAGAAGTATTCTGGCTGCACTTCCTTCTAGATAAATTTGGTCTTCTGGCAGACCATGGTACTTTTAAAAATTTTTGCATCAACACAATCCATATGCATCCTGTTTTCTATGATCTCCCTTATTCATTGTACAACTCAAGTATACCTTAGTCCTCAAAGGGACATCTCTGCTCTCACACTTTATAAAGAGGTTGTTTGCTGAAGATTTATCTAATGTAACATGTCATTTGATTTCTTGGCTTGTCCTTCCATGAGTAGTGATTGTGGGTTCAAGCAAAGTGAAGTCTTTGACAATTTAAACTTTTCTTGGTTTATTATAATGTTATTAATTGATTCCTTTTGAGGATTTTTGTTCTCTGTACGATGAAATGCAAGCCATACTAAAGGCTGCATTCTTTGATCTTCTTCAGTAAGAATTTCAAGTCTTCTTCACATCCAGAAAGCAAGGTTGTGTTATCTGCATATCTCAGGTTGTTAATGAGTCTTCTTCTAATCCTGATGCCACATTCTTTTATACATAATCCAGTTTCTTAGATTTTATGAGCAGCATACAGATTGAAAAAGTATGGTGGAAAGATAAAATTCTGATGCACACCTTTCCTAATTTAAAACCATTCAGTATCCCCTTGTTATATTCTAACAATTGTCTCTTGGCCTGGGTACAGTTTCCTAATGACTACAATTAAATGTTCTGAAATTTCACTCTTCACAATGTTATCCATAGTTTGCTATGATCCACAGAGTTGAGTGTCTTTGCATAGTTAATAAAGCACAAGTAAGCTTCTTTTTGATAGTCTCTGCTTTCAGCCATGTTCCATCTGATGTCATCAATGATATCCCTTGTTTCAAGTCTTCCGAATCTGGCTAGAACTTCTGGCAACTCCCTGTCAGCTGCAACCATGTTTGAATTATCTTCAGCAAAATGTTGCTTGCATGTGTTGTTAATGATATTTTGTTCAATAATTTCCACATTCCTTTAG